TGCAATTCTTTATCTATACCCTCACACTGATTCAATGCAATTTCCAAAGAAGTCCAGGAACACACATTTTTTTTATGTATTGGTGAATTTTCATGTAATGGAATTTTTTCGGTAACTTTTTTCCAATTAGTTAAGCCAGTGTATGCTAATTTCGATACGTTAGATGAGTTTTCGATTTTAGTAAACAATTTACAAGGTACACAAAAAAGTGCATTTTTATAAGAAGAATAGCTGAGCCATGTCCTTTTTAATTTTTTTCCATTCAAAAGTATCTTAAAAAACCAGTCGGAATTAACATTTCTACCGTCTCTTTCCGAATTACTAAAATCATGAATTTCAGTATAATTGTACCTCATTTTCACTAAATATGTTCTTTGTGTATCTGTAATATTTAGAGGCCATGTACCAAGATCAGCAAAATTTAAGTTTATGGTGTCTACTTTATCGCAACTGTTTTTAATCACATCTATAGCTATATCATACTCCACATCACTATGCGCAGGCTCTGTAGAAATAACATTTTTTGTATTTTTTTCTTCGGCTATAATAGTTGATGAACTTTCAGCGTTTGAAGGAACCAGTTCTATAAATTAAAGGTAAGTAAAGAAAGGTATGTTTGTGATAAATTAACTAAATTTATATTAACTAATTCATATTCAGTAATTAGATTCATTAATTCAATTGTTTTATGAACACAGAGTTAAGGTACTACAATATATACATTTTTTGGATTGTACATATGACCTTTGATTAGTTTTTATGTTTTAAGCTTGTATTAGCTGTTTTGACTAAACAATATTTATAATTCAAATTAGTAAAATTAAAAATACCTACTTAAGTCTAAAATGTGAATGATTTTTATGAAATGTTTTCATTATTTAATATTCAATACTAAATTTTATAAATTTGTTTATTAAGCAATAAAAATTAATTTATTGTTACAAAAAATTAGAATTCAATTCAATTTAGATGTTTGAAACATGTTTTAAATAAAAGTTCAAAACAAAAATTTTAAACATCTCAATCCTGATTAAATGTATTACACAACCTTCATCCGGGAGCGCGGGCGGTAGATTACCGCTCCATTCATAAAAACGCGCGCAGGAATAAATTAAGCACGATGAGGAAGACGGGAGAGGTTTGTATTCTCAAATGACATAATATGACACTAGGTGATAGTGTCATACTAGCTAAAGTTTCATGGTGACTTGTCTAAAGTAAATGTAAAACGTACCAAGTCGAACTAACCTACAATTAAGCGGTAAATTACCATCAGGACGCGCCCGTTTATGGTATTATTTTTTTTTCTAAATTTTTATTTTTTGTAGGTATATTATATTTATTTACCATAATTCAATACTAAATGTATCCTACAACGATATTGAAAATTTTACTACAACAGAGAGGCGGTAAGTTACCGCCGCGCGCCCGCGAGTGTTACGGAAAGGGGCGCGCCCGGATGAAAGTTAAATATAAATATATAATTTAATTTGACAGGTGTTAAAATTGCTTACCACAGGTTTCTGTTTTTGTAAAGAAATTTACGATTTTTGGTAATTTTTGAACATTTTTTTCAATTTCTTGTTTTCGTTTTCGATTTTCAGCCCCACTAAGCTTTTTCTTTGAACTCATTATTTGTTTTTAGGTGTAAACGTGTAATAAATGTTATAATAAAAAAATATGTGAGACGACTGTGGGCTGCTCGTCAGGAACAAATGAACGTTAAAAATATTATCGTAGGTACTTTTTTTTAACAAAGAATATACAATAAACATTTATCGTCGATCGTCAGGTTGGGTTTTCTCCGAAAACAAATAGACTGATAAAGACTGGACAACTATAAAAGACGTCAACACCGGACAAAAATATAAACAAAAGATAAATATATACGAATAATAATAATATTATAGTATTAATAGTAATAATATTACTTTTACTTGATAGATGTTTGGAAATATTTTATAATTTATACATATTTTATTTATTTATTATGGCTTTTTTTTATTTTTCATATACTTAAGAGCGCCCTTATACCAACAGCGCCCGGGCAAGGGTACCCACTTGCCCCCCCCTAGATCCGGCACTGTTTATGGTTAATATAAGGATCTAATCCATTTTGGTTGGGATTACTGTACTTTTGTAAAAAATAACAAAACCAATAAAAAAATGCTAAAAGATTTTGTGCCTAGTATGTCCTCTTAAGCATAGAACCAGCTAGGTTTAGTTTGTCCGTTTTTTTTTTTTTTAATATTAGTTTAGGAATTTTTAACTCTTGTGTAATATAATAACTGTACCTAACCTCTTTAGTTGCTACTGTTGAATGGAATTTTTAAATATCTAATTTTTATTATAAATAATGTTTGGCAAACACCTACTGTTACAGGGATCGACTGGTTCCCCAAAAGGAGCTTGCCTAACGCATTACAATATCGTGAACAATTCGTACTTCATCTGCAAAAGATTGCTCTACAAGCAAAAGGTGACTTGAAGGAGTCTATAATAAAATGACACATTATAAAAAAGTCTGGATAAAGTTATTGGCAATTATATAAATTTTATGAGGTGGTTAATAAAAACGTTGAAACTGTTAGATCAATTCTAAAGACATATTTTATTTGAGAAAATGTAAATTTAGCCTTAAACTTTATCCGGTCCCTTCTTTTTTCAATAATAATCGTTTAAATTATTCTAAAAAAACTTGATTAAGCTTTGTTAGTTAAAAAATTAATTACAATTACATTTTCCTCAGGAACACAGAATATTGCTGCAAGTGCCGTTTTTTCACATATTCGGTACTGTTGGCGGAATCATGTCGAGCATACACAGTGGAACCACATTGGTATTGCCGACTTGCGGTTATAAGCCCATTGAGGCGGCCAAGGCCATTGTACACGAAAAGTTAGTTTTTTAAATTATTACCGCAATTTAAAAATATTATTCAGTTTTGCACATTTTTTTTTTATAATCATTTGTTTTTAGATGTACAGTTTTGTACGGTACTCCAACAATGTACGTCGACTTGGTTTGTGTTTCCAAAGAACTCCTACAGGAAGGATATACCTTTACAACACCGGAAGTGGCAGTTTGCGCGGGAGCTATGTGTTCTCCACATTTGCTTAAACAAATCAAAACCGTTCTAAATGTCGGACGTTTACTGGTAATAACTAATATTGTATTTTCTGGTGCATAGTGATAGCCATTGTTGTAATTAGCATGGATATCATAATGTGTACAAATATATTAATAATAAATATATTGCATTTTAGTGTCCTTTTGGAATGACAGAAACCAGTCCTCTTGTTTTTCTTTCCAACCCTGACGATCCCGAAGAGAAAACATGTACAACCGTTGGCCAAGTCATCGATCATTGCGAAGTAAGATCATTTTATTACATTGTACTGTTTTGGTGATATTAAAATCGATTAATGGATAACTGATAAGAGAATCAGCTGATAAGATATAAGTGATAAGGGAATATTGGTTATTAATGAATGACTAATTAAGGAATAATGTTAGGTTAAAAACATACTAATGCTTCAATAAAAATTAGCTGATGACCATAGTGTAAACAAAGGAAGAGCAACAAAACGAACACGTTTTAAAATCTTAATAATATGGACGTTGATGTCGTGTTTGAAGGTGAAAGTCGTGGACAAAAACGGCGACGTGGTGCCTATGGGTACTCCGGGAGAGGCTTGGTTTAAAGGGTACAACGTCATGCCGGGTTACTGGAACGACGTGGAAATGACAAGAAAGACCATCGACGACGACGGATGGCTTCGTTCGGGGTAGGGTTACTCAATAGAGATAACGACAAACGTTAAAAAATGATTGAAGCTTGGGTGGGGTATTATATTTACACTATTTACATGACTTTAGGTTACTCCCACTTGGATGTGATGACTAGTTCGCCAATGTTTCGGAACACTTGCACGTTCCATCTGTAGAAGAGCGCGGTAAGAGCAACATTGAACCACAGCCATGGACGTGCAAGTGTTTCGAAACGTTTGCGAACTAGTCAACACATCCAAGTGGGAGTAACCTCAAGTCATGTAAATAGTGTAAACAACAAATGTATTTATAATATTATCATATTACTTGATGGCCTTGTGTTAATTAAAATATAGCGACTTATTCGTATTGAGCGAAGACGGGTACGGCGTGATCACGGGCAGGATAAAAGACATTATAATTCGAGGCGGAGAAAACATAGAACCGCAGACGATCGAGTACTTCCTAGAAACTCATCCCGAAATCGTCCAGGCTCAGGTTAGTAGACGACCGGGCAGTTAAGTAGTACACTCCCTCAGGCTAATAAAATGAGAGCGTATCCTTCTCGAACTAAAAAATCTTAACTCTTTCTGCAATATTTTCACCCCTGTCGCGCTCAGCTATGGAGACAGAAGGGATGGAAGCTAAACTGATTTCTTATCCTTTTCTATACTCTTTTGTTTTCAAAGGTGTTCGGTATACCGGACGAAAGGCTCGGCGAAGTGGTTTGCGCAGCTGTAAATACCATAAAGAATTCCAAGCTCGACGAGGAAGGTGTAAAAAATTTTTGCTCCGGCAACGTGAGTTATTTATCGTTATAAATTAATATCTCGACTGGGAAACGAGAGTACTTTGAATAGCATAAACGTGCATTTTATGTACTGATTGTAGATAGCCAGGTTCAAAGTCCCCATTCACGTGATGATCGTAGACGACTTCCCAAAAACGGCTTCTGGCAAAATTCAGAAATTCAAACTCCGTGAAATTATGATTGATCATTTGAAGGAATAGTAGATTTGTCCTTAAAACGACTACTGCCATTAGTGTATCGAATACTTAGTTTAATTTACACACAATAGTATCTTTGATCTATGAGTTTTTTTTAAATGTTATAATTGTGTTATGCAGAAGAAACTCGAGCAACTCATGGTTACATATAATTAATTAAAATGCATGGTTAAGGGTTTTAAACTTAAATTTATGTATTGTATGATGTAATTGACCATATTGTAAGCGAATAATAAATAGATAACACTTCGATAATATGAAGTTCATTTATCAAACCTTCTTGCTCTTTATAAAAATGTGCAAGGGACTCTAATGTGAGTTTTCTTTTCAAGTCTTTGTTCACTCCTTATTTGTAATTCCATCACCTTATTTGCTTAGTCGTTGTTTTTGGGTGAATTGTGTATTTTTCAAATAAACGCTATATTAAATTGAAGAAAAAAAAAAAATTTGAAATTCTGTGGTTCGCCAGTAAGTAAGTGCCCTACCTAACAAATTCATTTAACTATCCTTATATATTATACATTTTTATCCCCATATCCTAATTAAGGGTACCGAATCCCTTATCTCTCATATCTTATCTGATAATTATTTATCAGCTCTTTCGTTCATAAAACAACCGCTAGATTGCGCCACACGCACATATTATCTACAGAAACGTTCAGTGTGATGGACGCACAGATTTTCTTATTGATCCTTAACCAAAAGGCATATCTATGTCGATAGCGTAGAACATAATAATTTCCAACGGTCGGCCTTTCGGTGGGACAAACGTCACCCCCCCCCCCCTTCGCCGACAATAGTTAAAACAGTTTAAGTCTTAAGTGCCTATGTAAAAATAAAATAATTGAGCAAGTTAGACGTCATAAGGTTGTTATTTAATTATAAATTGGCCAGCTATAGAGAACTAGTTTAGCTGTGTACAAAGATCAAACACTGTCTGACTAGTGTTTGCATGTGTGATGCCGTGATGGAATGATGCTAGTATGACAACATCCATACATACTCACGTGACGTGAGTCATCAAAATAACATGTGAGCTCGTGTAAAATGATAATAATGTGTTCCCGTCTAGAGACCTTGACAAAACGTGGGCTTAATTATTGCTGGTGTTAAATTTTTCATTTTTCTCACAAAATAAGTTCTCATATTTCTGTAACGGACCTACTTGTCTAGCTGGCTAGACTAGGCAAAGTGGCCGTCGATAAGGCTAAAATAGACGGATCCCCACGGGAAAACTGTTGGCTAGGGCGCTGTCTACGTCTAATTGGCCTTAAAATCTCCCTTATTAACTTAATATATCGCCCGAGGAGCTAGAACGGGCGGTCACACTGTTAAATAATCTAACTCTCAGCTGCAGGCTACAAGATGTTTTATTCTAAATTAGGGTTGCTAAATAAAATACAAAATTATACAATACATACATATATATATATATACATATATACACTCTGACCTGGGTTGGACGATGAAATGGTTGGTCAAAGCGGAGTTAAAACGGACGCACACAAAAGATAGTCGGATGGGCGGCTTGTAGTAAAACGGCAAAAATATAGAGCGCAAGGTCGAGGATATTGGCGGTCCTTGATGGTAAAGTCAACTGGTTAATTAGATGATACGCGACGTGCATTGTCCTGTGTGTGCGACCGTTTCCCTACCTATAGTCGGGGGTGCTGTGTCAGTAGGTTTGGGACGCGAACTAACGGTCAGGTGAAATATGATCGTTACATTTCCATATCTATTGTATTTAGTGGTACCAAATATTTACCCACGTTTGATAACCGGTTTTGATTTTTATCAGTGTGCATTACTTAACCGCACTCCGACATTCATACGATTTTTTTTAAAATTGAAAATAGTTTAGAATGATCATGTCACGTCTATTCCTAAGGACACGCATCAAACTTCATCATAAACAAATTTGAGCTTTAAATTTTGTCAGCTCTCGACTTTATAACTTTGTCAGCAAAAACCAGCATCATCAAAAAAATTCAAAAAAATCACGAATCATGAAAACTAAGTAAATATTTCTCAATAGCTATGTTTTTTAAAATTATTGCTATTAGATGTGTAGTTTTATTCACTCTAGAAATTTATAAAAATCTTAATGAATATATTACCATATTATTTTTAATATATGATGGTATTAAAATTAAATGATAATTTTTTGCATTTTTTTTGCTGTTAAGGTTGCCGATATAATAAAAAAAAATAAGTGAACTAATTAACCATTGTTAAAATTTGATTATAATTAAAATCATGTATATGACATGAAATATTCTAAAATAAAGGTAGCATAAAAATTGCAATTTAATTAGTTAACTTTATTAAAAATTCTACTAAAAGAATAACGCGTTTATTTTTTTCGTTGTAAGAAATCATTATTATTATTTGGCAGTAGATTAGTGCACACTGTACTTACTTCTGGGCGATTCAGACTCTACTCCCTCACATCTGGTGTTGAAATTCAATTAATTTTCCAGTATCAAATAGTAGTCTTGAAAAACAGTTGAAAGCTGTAAATTCCCTATTAAAATAAAATTGTTTTCATATAGTAAAGTTAAATCGTAAACGGTGTATAAAATGAGCGGTCATGACAAAAGGTAAGTAAGAGACGAACTGGAATATAATAAAAAAATAATATTATAAAATACATACAATTGTTTCACATGTTGTTTTTTATCCGATTCACTCTAATCTCTGAAAAATAATTCATCTTTTGGTAGTTTCATCTTTCTTAATGATTTTAAGAACTAATTCATTTTTATGATAAAACAACAATTACATAATTCTATATATGTTGATTTTAAGTTTAAAACGTGCCACTCACACACAGCAATCATTTACCTTTGAGTTTTACCAGGATTTCTTCATAAAACAATTCTGTAAAATTTAGATATTCAGAAATGTGTTATTTATAGCAAAATTCTCTTAAAAAATGATGTAACATTACAATTAGCAAGCAGATTTTTTTATATAATAAACTAATATTAAGTTAGTTTGAAAATGTAACTTGTCCGGCATCGCAGTTACCAGAATTTTGTATACAAATTAGGTTAGGTACTTATTTAGTTAGAGTAATAAAAAAATAACTAGTAACTTGTTTAGTTCTGCTTGTAAACTCACTTGTATTTCACTAGTTATAAATACTGTAACTAGTTACTATTTTTATTTAAATATTTTGGAATACAAATTTTTCCAAGAAGATTTTGGATGAAATATCGTGGAGTAATATTTAAGTCTGTTGTTCTCAATAAAAAAACCATAATTTGATCATCAAACATATTAATATGTTTTTAATAGCCTTGTTATATTGTACTAATTTAGGAGGGCCTCCATTGAAATTCCACCGAACGCAAAATAAGATTTTATCAAAAAACAATGAAATATTTTATTTTTATGAAACAATCTTTTATCCTGTCTCCAACATTCCTTATACCATTTGTTAGTTACAACAAAATTGAGCCGATTTGGGAGTTATCGTTGTGTACCGTGAACTCGTAAGCACAATTTCTAAATTGAGACCAATTTTTGTTTTGCAGTTCAACGGACTCTTCGATTTTACCGAAACCGAGTTATTACAAAGGCATCCAAAATGAACCGTTGATAAACATGACCGTCGGTCAATTGGTCGACTTAGCCGCCGAGACATATCCGAAGAGGGAGGCCATAGTCTCCGTTCAACAGAACCGAAGAATCACCTTTCTAGAACTCAAACACGAGGTAAATTAACATTAGCCAATATACCTTAAATGTACACTAGATCAAATGACGTTAACCTTGGCTATTTTTTTTTTGTCTATTCGTGAATATTTTTGTTTTCTGTGATGGTCGCAGGTCGAAGAGCTGGCAGCTGGACTCTTAGAAATGGGCATGAAACCGGGTGACCGACTTGGCATCATGGGATCCAATTCGGTGGAATGGGAAATTACTTTGTTAGCTGCAATGAAGGCCGGAATAATAGCTGTAAAGACCATGTTTAATAGTGTCCATGCGACGCTCTAAAAAGACCTAATAAAGCACAAATGCATTTATAATAATTACATCTCAACACTCTGCAGGTAAACATAAATCCGTTGTACATGAGTCGCGAACTCCACCATTGTCTGGAGAAAGTCGATGCTAAAATGTTAATCGCTTTTGAGAACAACCCGGCTCAAGATTATTATCAATTGCTAAAGAAAATTGTGCCAGAAATTGAACACCAACCACACGGTAAACCTGTGACCTCTAGGCATTTACCCCATTTAGAATTCATCGTTATAAACACTGAAACGAATCTCCCATAAGTCTTAACTTTATATTACAATGCAAATAATTCTGTACCTGTTTGGAATTTATTAAAATGATTTCGGTACATATACTGTCAAGTCTACTTTGTATGTTCCAGAGGGATTATCAAGTTCTGGGACGTGTGCCAATCGGGAACGACCAAATCTGCCGCCTACCTGAAGAAGTTAAACCTTGATCTCGACCCGCATACGATATGTAATATACAATTTACTTCGGTGAGTCCACGGAAAAAAGGATAACCATAATTTATGGTTAATATAGGGATCTAATCCATTTTGGTTGGGATTACTGTATTTTTGTAAAAATTAACAAAACCGATAAAAAAATGCAAAAAGATTTTCGTGCCTAGTATGTCCTCCTAAGCATAGAACCAGCTAGGTTTAGTTTGTCCGTTTTTTTTTTTTGAATATTAGTTTAGGAATATTTAACTCTTATATATAATAACTGTACCTAACCTTTTTAGTTGCTACTGTTGAATGGAAATTTTAAATATCTAATTTGTATTATAAATAATGTTTGGCAAACACCTACTGTTACAGGGATCGACGGGTTCCCCAAAAGGAGCTTGCCTAACGCATTACAATATCGTGAACAATTCGTACTTCATTTGCAAAAGAATGCGCTACAAGCAAAAGGTGACTTGAAGGAGTCAATAATGAAATGACACATTTTAAAATAGTCTGGATAAAGTTTTGGGCAAATATATAAATTTTAGATATTTTCCAGAGAAACGGTCAATAAATACGTGGAAACTCAATTCTGAAAAACATAATTCATTTCATAAAATGCATATTTTTTTAGATTAAGAGAAATGTAGCTTTAGCCTTGAACTTCATCCGGTCC